CCTCATCCATTGCCTCCAGGAAGTGTGCTAAGCAATAATCGGGCAACCGCGCTCTACCGTGGAGAGCCCGTGAACGCGAGGCCAAGAGGATCCCCCTTTCTTCAACTGGGCTCTGTACAGAGATGTCCGCCCCCTCATGCTGCGAAACCCCGAGTACAGGCCGACTTGCACAGAGGTTCTCGGCTGCAGCTCGCAACTCGTAATTGTGGGCGGGATGAGGTTCTCAGCATAAGTGTTGGTTTGGGAAGTACCTGCTTCTGTCATGCCGTCTTAGATGGCGTCGAGGAGCCTTCGGAGGGCTAAGTTTGCTAATCTACAGCTCCTCTCTCTTGCCTCGCCCTTCCTATGCCCCAGCGCCCACCGCCGCGTACTCGACGTCGGCCATGTGCACGACGTGCGCTGCGGGTCATGGAGGTCGAGGGAGGGAAGCGGGGGGGTGGGGGACACGTGCTGTCAGCACGAGAGCTCTTGCCTCTGCCACTTCTCTTCCTGTTTTATCTTCTTCTTGCGCTCAGGTCCCGGGTGGAAATTGGGCCTGCTTAAGGGGTGACTTTGGAGGGGGTGGGGGGTGGGGGACACGTAATGTCAGAACGAGAGCCCTTGCCTCTGCCGCTTATCTTCCTGTTTCATCTTCTCCTTGCGCTCAGGCCCCGGGTGGAAATTGGGCCTGCTTAGCGGGCGACTTTTCAGGAGGGAAAAAAACACACAGACACAATTAATCGACGATCCCCGGGAACATATTGGAGAATATGGGAAGTGGGGGGGAAGACAAAAACCCTGAAAATATGGGGAAATATGGGGAATCTTTTTATTTGAGTGTATTGATTTGTGTGTCCTGGGGTCCCTTTATTAACGGGCGACTTTGGCTGTGACTCTCATCAGGGCCTCATCGCCCCTGCAGCTGCTCGCGCACAGGCGCTTCCGTGGACGGCCGCTCCGGTTCGATCCTCTTCCCTCTTGGGCTTGCCGGTGGCTTCCCTGTCGCCGCCACGTCGCGGCACCGCAGCGCCGGTGCCTCGTGGCCCGTCCAGCTCCACCCGCCTCCTCTCTCCCCCTCCTTGCCCGTGTTTCGCCCCCCCCTCCCTGCCGCCCGTTCCTTCACTCCACGGCCCATTCTGCTCCGGCCGATGCGATTTCATACAGTCGGGGCGCTGAAGAAGGAACTCTTTTCGTTGGGTAGGGGCTCCGTGTTCCTTAATTGTTTCACAGTTTGCCCCACGTTTTCCTTAGGTTTTCGAAGGGAAGTCGAAGTTCAATTTCTGGAGAAAAGGGGCCTCGTTCCTTATTTAGGGTTCCTTAGGTGAACGCCCCGACTGTATCGATGCCGATGTCGATCCCGACCGGCTCTGTCTGGTCCGACTCCGTCGCTCCCACGACCCCTTCGTGCCCTTTGGCTCGCAGTCGATCCGCCCCGATCTCGGCTCGGGGCCGAGGCGGCCCGATCCGGCGCACGTTTCGATCCGATGCTGCCGATGTTGCTCTCCTGCGGGGGGAGAGGCTTCAGTGTATCGGAGGTGGATAAACCTCCTACCCTGACACGTCGATTAGTGAATTGGCCGCTTTCGGTTCGCGAGAGGGCGTCGCGGCCGTCATTTTTGCGGGTCCAGGTCCGTCGGTTTCGGTCCCAGGCCGTTCTCATTAAGGGGAGGTCTACTAAAGGGAGGTTTGTCCACCGCCGACAGTAGCGAATCATGGGAGCCGCGTGTACCCCCGTAATTCAGTATGTTGCGCCGATTCGCGTCGATTAGCACCTGGGAGTCGATGAGATAGGGTCGATCTTGAGTCGGACAGCGTCGAGTAGCGTCGATTTGGCGTCGACTCGCGTTGACTAGCGTCGATTCGCAAGAGCCGACAAGACGGCACGGGAGGCTCCCATGAGCTGCCACGCACATTTCGATCCGATCCTGCCGATGTTGCCCCCCTCCGGGGAAAGAGAGGGCGCGCTCCCTCCCCGCTGGCAGGGTGGCACGAGTTCCGGCACACCGCAGAGTTCCCCCCGACGTGCGCCCTTGGGGCGGGGGGCTGCAGCCCATCAGGCTCCCGTCGAGGCAAAAGCCACGGGACGTCCTCGTGAGACTGAGCCGGGCGGGGAGAAGTCTTTGGACTTTTCGGGGGGCCCGCCAGCATGGGGAACTATCGGAGCATCGGATGTGTAGGAAGATCGCCGGGTCGGGTGCCGCCGGAGGTGTCATTCTAGGGCTCCTAGATGGGGTCCGAGTGGATGGGGTCGGAGGATCGCGCCGCATCGCCGATGCGTCGCCGATGCATCAGGGGATGCATACTGGCCCCCGGGGGAAAAAGTCTGGACTTCAGGGGGGCCCGCATGGGGAACATCAGAACATCGGATGTTTTGGAACAATCGCCGAGTCGGGTGCTGCCGGAGGTGTCATGGGCCCAGGGCTCGAAGAAGGAACAATTGCATAAACATAAACTGTTGGCGTTTGGCGCGAATTTCCTGGATCCGCCCTGGGCCCCCCGGTGGCGCCTCCTGCGCCGCCCCTGGCGCGCTCCGCGCGCCTGGGAAGGGGGGTCCAGCGCAGATCCAACAAATCCGCGCCGACCTCCGAAAGTTCATGTTCGTGCCCTTGTCTCTTTCTCACTGGACTCGGATGCTGCCGGAGGTGTCATGGGCCCAGGAGGTCCTCAGGACTTCATGGGTGCCCCCCTGGCACCCCAGAGCTCACCACCCACCAAACCACCCCAACCCAACCCGAAGGCTCAGATTTACCCTCGATTTCCAGTGGGGGGGGGGGTCCGGGAACATCGAAAAACACATATGGAGCCCATACCCCCCCCAACCCGAAATTCGGGTCTTCGGGTTGGGTTGGGGTGGTCTGGTAGGTAGTGAAGAGCACCCCCAGGCCCCCCACGAAGCGGGCTCTCCACAGTGGAGCGGGACGCTGGGAGCATCCGTAAGTCTCCAAATCCCAGTCGGCACGCGTCCCGGGAGAGGTCCGTGGAGCAGCGGCCGTGGGGCAGCGGGTGCCCGCATGGGGCAGCGCATGGACCGCCAAGCTGGAAAGCACCTGCTGCACGATGTGGGTCCTCCATTCGGGCCAGGCGAAAGGGGGGGGTTGGGAAAGGGGGGGCTACGAGATTTGCTGCATGCAGCTGGTTTCGGCCTCACCGAGGGGCCCATTCCTCGATACATGGCCGCCTCCGGCGCCGGGAAAATCAGCTACGTGAGCTGATTCTCAAACCCCCCCTTTGCTATCCCCCCCTTTCGCCCGACCCGATCCATCGACCCCGCAGATGCTTGGGGTCCCTCTCTGACTTCGGATTGCCGCCTCCTGCGGGGCTCGCATGTTTTCCCCCTGCTGAGCCGCTGTGTCGTGGGACATCACTGCGGTGGCGGTGGCGACATCAGATTGTTTTTTTGTCCAGGGTCCGGCGAGGAGCCGCTCTCTTTTTCGGGACGCCTGCCCCCCCCTCTCCCCCCAGATATCCTGACGTTGTCGGCTGTGCAGGCCCGAGGGGGGGTACGCAGTTCGTGTGCGCGCGTGCAAACGCGGGGCTGTCCAAAGCGAGAAGGTCAGATTATCGGCCGCCCGCCCTCCCTCCCACACTCGATATCACTTGACCGACCCCTGTCGCCGATCATCGACCTCCCCCCCCCACACTCAGCCATCACTTGACCGACCTCTGTCGCCGATGATCGACCGTTCCCCCCCACACCCCACACTCAGTATCACTTAACCGACCCCTATCGCCATGCGCATCCCCATCCAGACTCCACCATCTCAGCACCCAAGTTGGGGATGTACCCCTCGAAACCCGAAGGAGACGGCCTGTATCCTTATCTCTAGGGGGGCAAATCGGCTCGTGTGGCCCAGGCCACGCCCATGTGGATAGGGGTCAGTATCGACGACGACGACGAAGGTGACGACGAGGACGACGACGACGACGACGACGAGGACGAGGACGACGTCGACGTCGACGTCGACGTGCACGTCCACGACGACGACGACGACGACGATGCCGACGACGACGACGACGACGACGACGACGACGACGACGACGACGACGACGACGACCTCGACGACCTCGACGACGACGACGACGACGACGACGACGACGACGACGACGACGACGACGACGACGACAACACGACACACGATTCTCGCCCACACCGGATGACAGCGGCGGCGGGGGCGCAGGCGGGCGCCCGCGGACCCCGGGGGGGGGCGGGCGCCCCGGGGGCGCGGCAGGCTGGAGGGGCCGCAGCCGGGCGTCCTGCTCGGCAGGCCCGCGGCGCGTCGCGTCGGGGGGGGGGCCGCCAGGGCGCCGTCGTCGCGGTCGCCGTGCACGTCGCAGGGAGGAGGGAGGAGGAGCGGGAGGGAGGAGGAGGGGGGGGGAGGAGGGAGGGGGAGGGCAGGGAGGAGGAGGGAGGCAGGAGGGAGGCAGGAGGGAAGGGAGGAGTAGGGACGTCTGGGCCTCTTGGCTGGGGTCGGAGGATCGAGCCGCATCGCCGGTGCATCGACAATGCGGCTCGATGTGGGGCCCGGTTGGCATCATGTCGACATCGCCGACGCATCGCCGACGTCGACGGTGCAACACCGGTGCATCGCCGATGCATCGCCGATGTATCAACGATGCGGCGCAATCCTCCGACACCATCTACTCCGACCCCATCTAGGAAGCTTCTAGCATGGCTCGGGTCTCATCGGAGGGGGAATCACACACAGACGCGATTAATCGTCGATTCCCCCGAAAATATGGCCACATATGGGAAGTGGGTGGGAAGACGAAAGCCCAGAGGAAATGAGAAAAGATGGGAGATCCTGGGATTCGTGTGTTTTGCTTTGTGTGTCCCTGGGCCCCTTCATTCTCATCGGGCCTCCATCGCAGAAAACTGACGGCATAAAATAAGCATATATTTATTGGCGCTCCGCGCGGATTTCTTTGACTTGAGCTGTGACCCCCTGGGCGGCGCCTCCGGCGCCGCCCCTGGCGCGCTCCGCTCCAGGCAGGGGGGGTTCGGCACAGATCCAAGAAAGTCGCGCTGGCTTTCCCGTGGTTTCGTTTTCTACTCCAGGGCACCTTTCACGAGCCTCGAGCCGGGGGCACCCTGAGCAACCCGTGAGAGGGGCGTCCGCGCTAACGGGGGCTGCTCTGGCCGACCCGGGTTTGGGAACCACGCGGGACCGGGCCCCCCTCTCCGCCCTCGGTTGACCTGGGTCTGGGAGCTACAGGGCGCCCAGCTGGGCTTCGCGACAGGCCCCTGGCCGGCCTGGGTTTGGGCTGACCGGGGTTACCCAGGGCGCCCCTGATCTCAAAGCAGGAAGAGGTTTTGACATCGCTGTTCTTCCTTCGGTTTCGCATATGGGGGCCTTTCCGGAGGCGCTCGTCGTCATGGCTGGATTCGCCTTGAAGGTCTGTTTTGAACGCACCTTGGGAGAGGACGGGGGAGTAGCGGCATGGGTATCTTGCAGTCTCTCCAGGCTCAGGGGTAACGTTACCATCGGTCGTTGCAGGTAGGTGTTCGTGGACTCCCGAAATCTCGATCCCCTTTCGGCGCCTGCCCACTCCGAGTGTCGAGAGCCGAGCTGTTCCTTCGTCCTTCTTCCTCTGGGGGCGGGCGGAGACCCAATCTGCTCAAAGCTTTCCCACTCCATGCTTCGACCCGCTTCTTCTGACCGATGTCAGGAGGGGATTATAAACACAGACACCTTTTAATCGTCGACTCCCCAGAAAAGATTGGAACATCTGGGAAGTGGGGGGGAAGACAAAAACCCAGAACATATGAGAAAATATGGTGAATCTGGTTATTTGTGTGTATTGATTTGTATGTCCCAGGGCCCCTTCACGATGGTCAGTAAGGGATGGAGGCAGGGATGGGAGGACGGAGGCGCACAGTCAAGACGCCGACGCAGAGTGAACACTTTGGGTGGGGGGAGGGCGGGGCCGCCGCTGTGCCTTCTGTCATCCCGTGGTGGTTTTCGTGGCGCTCCTCTCGTGCTCCTGGGCGCGCGTCTGGGGCCAAGGGGGGGCTTCGTCTCTTGCGCCACACGCGCTGCAGATGAGGGTCAAGGCTAGGGGGTGATGCGCTGAGGGGAGGATGCATCGACCCTCGGGGCATCATTCATCGCCGATGGGGGGGCCCGATTGCCCACCCCCGCCCAGAGACGGGCGGAGTCGCCATCGAGGGCCTGTCGTCGATTTCTCCACGATGGATCGCCACGTCCAGCTCGACGTTTCCCACCCCCGCATCTGGTCCTCCGCTATCATTGTCCCTCATCGGTGCGATCGGAATGTGCACGGGAAGAATGGGTACGAACACCGACAGCAGCTCCTGTCTATATCGAGCAGAGCTTGCTGTCGGTGTCGCCGCGAACGTTGTCCGCTTGGGGCAAAAGTCGCCTTCCCAACAGCGGCCGCTGTCGGTCTTGGACGGCATTCGCTTCGTCGTCGTCAGTTCATCGCCGTCGAGAGCAGATGATCCTGGGTCCAGGCCTGTGGTCCCCATTTGGGCCCCTGGCGGGCTCTGGGGGCTGCCACGGGTGGGACCTCTGTGGGGTTGGTCGTGAGGTCGTCGACGTCGATGTCGCCGTCGTCTGTTTCGTCGTCGTCGCTGTCGTACTCGGCGTACTCGGCGTACACGTCATCGCCGTCGTCGTCGTCGTCGTCGTCGTCAATGTCGTTGTCATCATGGTTATCCCTTGTTCGTTCCCTCCAGATCTGTCATTGCATGTCGTGGCCAGCCGCGCGGCGGCAGGAAGCGGGCAGAGCAGCGGGGGGGGTGGTGACGGGTTGTTTCCTGGAGTTATCGATGTTGTCTCTGCCGCGACAAATGTTTCGAGCGATTACATGGCGTTTCGGCATATCGCTAGTCCTGATTGAATGTGTTCGATGTTTGCTCCTGGTGTATATGGTTGGTGCGTGGTCCCGATGCCTCGTCCTGATGTAGGTTATTGGCACAGGTTGATGCACAATGGATCCGTGTGTTTGGTACTGATGAATGGCTCGATGTGTGCTCCATTGGTACTGATGAATGACTCGATGTATGCTCCATTGACTTTTCTTTCTCTCTCTCTCTCTCTCTCTCTCTCTCTTATATATAAGGTAGTTGTGCATGGGCATGGTGTTTTCTCTTGATGCTTGGTATTTGTGTACATTCCTGGTGGATGTTATTTCTGTTAGTGATGTAAAATGTTTGTGCCTACGTTTGGTAGACTCGCATCCCGCCACCGTGCCTGGGTCGTGGGTCTGCGGCATCCTGGACGTTCGACGTTCGACGGGATCTCGTCGAGGCCTCTCGGGGGCCTCCTGGAGGCAGTTTCGATGCCTCTGGGGGTCTGATTTGTTGCCTCTTGGGGCCTCCTGGGAGCCTCATTGGGCCCCGCGGGGGCCTCTTGGGACCTCCTGGGCGTCTCTCGTGGCGGAGGGCCGTGAATTTCGGTTCGTGTTCTCCCCCCATCTTGGGCCCATTTCTGCGCCCTCGTGGATCGTGTGGGCCGTCTTGGTCGGGGCCCTCGTGGCCGTCTTGGGGCTGGGGGGCCATTTTGGGGCGGTCCTTGGGGCCTCTTGGGGCGTCTGGGAGCGTCGCGAATTCGACAAGGCGAGAACCCACAAAACATTGAAAACCATTCCAGGAACGTAAGTGATTTTAGCCCCTTCGGACCCTCCTGGGACGCCTTTTGTCTCTCGGGTCGCCTCGAAGTCTTCTTGAGCCATCTTGGGGCCATCTTGGCCGTCTTGGGTCGATCGTTCGGCGATTCGGTGTCCTCTTGGACCGTCTCGAGGGCCTCTTGGGGCCCTCTTGGCCCGTCTAGGGGCCTTTGTGGCTCTGAAGAAGTCACGGGCCACCACGCGACGCGGCCCAGAGGGCACGCCGGGAGCCCCAAAATTAGACAATTTGGGGTCCGGGCCCTTCCCCAGAATTGAGGACTGAGGCTTAAGGGATTAGGCCAAGGACCTGAGGACACTCCAACTCATGCCTCAGGGCACTTTCGCTGATGTTTATCTATATGTACATATACAGTTATATACACATGTATTCTCGGTGTCGGTTTGTGATGTTTCCTATTGGTGTATGTCATTGTCATGTGGTTTGTAGTACTGTTCTTGGTGTATGATATTCATGTGCGTCGTGGTGTGGATGTCTGATGCTTGCTCTTGGCGTTTGCTGTTGACGCATGTGCTTGATTCATGTTATGTGTGTCTGTACTTCATGTAGGCCATATATAGTTGTATTTGGCTGTTGTAGGTTACTCATACAGGTACTTGGTGTCTGCTATTGATGCCCGAGTCTGGCGTCCATTATTGATGAATGTTGTTGGTGTTCGTTTGTGATGTCTCTTCTTGGTTTATAGTATTGATGTATGTTCTTGGCCACTGCTATTGATATGGAGGTACGTGTTGTCTGACATCGGAGTTACGTTCTTAAGCAATATGCTCGATATATGCTCTTGGTGCACGTTCTTCGCGTATGCTCTGTCCTTCTGTTCTAGATGTATCTAGACAGTGTGATGCCGTCATGCCTCCCTGCGGTGCCTCACTCGGGCAATGTTCGCGGGTCACGTCTGTTCTACACGCTTGTTCGCTACGACCTCATTCGGCTCTCGAGGATCTCTGGGGCCTGGCTGTGGCCGAGGCGGAAGACGGTCGGTTCGCGTCGTGTCGACTGGCGGTGACCCCGCCTCTGGCGTTCAACGCTGAACGCCGCCGGCGACCCATACTCGGTCGATGTTGAATGATCCGTCGTTTCTGAAACGGCCGATCGTTTTCAAGGTGGAACGGTCCCCGCGGTGTCAGGAACCAGCGCTGGGGTCGACACGACGCGAACCTGCCGTACCCAGGGAACACCCGTATCGAGACGCAGGGCGGGCGAGGCGGGATGCCCAGGGAGCACCTGCCGCGAGGAGATGCACGGCGGGCGAGGCCGGATGCCTGGGAAGCATCCGGACCATATTGTGTTGCGCACTGTGGTGCTTGCAGTGGTGCGCACAGGCATTGTGGTGCGCCACGCAACGGGGGGGGTGGCGTCACGTTCTGCCCCCCGCCCCCCCGTCTCAGAACGCTCGCTTGGGCCGCGAATCTTTGAACTCGCTCTTCTCGATCTTTCTTCCCTCGAAGAAGGAACATCTGAGACACAGCAGCTTTCGAAACACGGCGAGCCTTCCGTGGAACCGCGTAGGACCCAGCCCCACCCCTTGCGGCGCCTCCAGCGCCGCCCCTGGCGCGCTCCGCGCGCCAGGGAGGGGGTCCAGCGCCGATTCGAGCAAGTCGGCGCGCACCCCCAAAAGTCCTAGGAGTGTGCAGGGCGTTTCTTCTCCCACCGCCCCACCCCACTTGCTCGGGAAGCGCACTGACCCCTGAGCCGCCTCCCTCCTCCCTCCTCCTCCTCCTGCATGGTGGCACTCTTCGGCCCAACGGTGCCCCCGTTCATGCCATTCATCGCCAGCGCAGTCACCCTCTGCCTGGCCGCCGACGGAAAAGAGTGCTTCTCCCACCGCCCCCTACAGTCAAAAACCCTAATAAGGTCGCGCGGCAAGGACGCAAGACCCTTGGAAACCGAAGTTGGGATTTCTGAGGCGGCGGACGACGAACACCCCAAGGACGCAGGAGCAAGGAAGGGCAAGGACGCAAGGGTACCCTGAGCAGAGTCGCGCGCCCTTATTCTTGGCATCGCTCGGACGTGTGCATTTTTCCTTCGGCGAGGACCATCGAGGAGCATCCTCGATCATTTGGCGAAAGAACCACGCACGAAACCGAAAAAAAACACAGGGAATGGACGTCTGAGCGATGGCCAGTCTTATGGTTTTTGACTGTACCTGCGGGGCGCGGACCCCCCGCCGCCGCCAGGCACGCGCGGGGGCAGCACACGGAGGCCCTCCTGAGCCTGATGCAGCCGGAGGAGAGGCGCGCATCGCCACGCCGGGCCCGCGCCCCCCCCCGTTTCAGCACGACTTTCAAGCAGTGGCGAAACGTCCAGGCTCGCCTGTAGCCCCACCAAACACTGTTCTAAGAAACTTCTGTGGTTCCCACGAGATGTTCTTAGAACATTTCTCTGTTTTGTTTTAGCGCATCAGGTTTCTGTTCTAAGAACATTTGTTTTTTTTCTTCGAACGTTTTTGGGTTCTAAAAACATGTCGTGGTATGATGATAGGAATGCCAGGACGGTCGGTCCCTGCTCAAGACTCGGGGGGGGGGGCGGGCGAAACGTGTCCGTATGGTTTCCGATGTCTCAGAGAGGGGAAACAAGACACAGACACAATTGGTCTGCCCCGATCCCCAGGACACTAGATGGGAAAATCTGGGAAGTGTGGGGGGGATGCCGAACAAACCTGGAAGATAATGGAACATGTTTGAAATCATGGGATCCGTGTGCACTTGTTTGTGTGTCCCTGGGCCCCTTGACTTTCCTCCGGGACTCAGGACAGGGCCTGCCCCATCAGCATGGTGTGCGGCATGCTGTGGGCCTGTTGGCCCCGCTGGCTGCCGCTGGCTTGCCAGCCTGGCCTGCCGGACCGGCCTGCAGGGCTTGCCTGGTGGCCTGCTGCCCTGGCCTGCTTGGCTGCTGGGATCGTGGTCTTCGGGGACAAAGACAAACACACACACATCACATCACATCACATCACATACACATGTTCATATGCATTTATGTATGCATGAACGTATGTTTGTATGTCTGTACGTATGTATAATTTATATATATATATATAGAGAGAGAGAGAGAGAGAGAGAGATTCCTCTTCCTATATTTTATAAGCCCGGGCGGGGGGACCCCGCCCCCCCCAAAACCGGACTCCCGGGATCTGGGGGTTTGGGGCCCTCCGGATGGGCCTCGAAGCAGCCTCCCGGGCATCGCAGAGCGTTTTGCCAAGCCTTCCCAGCACACCTAGGGCGATCAGGGGGGTCATCGGAGACGTCCCAGATGCGTGTGTCCCAGGGCTTCTTCATGGTTGCCAGCGCGGCTCCAGGGGTCTCGCGACGGTCGCAGACGTTGTCGTGGCCAAGACCAGCCAGGGCCGCCTACGCTGCGGTGCGATGCGATGCGACCCGCCAGGGGGGGCCGCGAGGGTCCGCCAGGCTTGCTTCGATCTTCTCTCCCGCTCCCACCGCAGCTGCAGGGCCAGTAGATCGATGATGACCGTTGACCTCGGCGTCGTCCTCATGCGGGCGGGAGGGGCGGAGCCGCATGAAGCATGTACAATGGATTGTTCCGCTCGATCCTAGCGAGCATGCTGCAGTCGGCGCTGTCTCTGCGCACGCGGAAGTCGGGTCATTGCTGGCATCAACAATCAAACAGATACATGGTCCATCAGAAAATTTTGACGACTGCGCGGATGTTTCCGGTCTGCGCTGGAATTCCCCATTCCCGGCGCGGTGGAGAGTTGCGCTGCAGGCGCCGCCTGGGGTCCGAGGAGATGGCCTACAGCGCCGACCCAAGACATCCGCGCGGGCCTCCCAGCAGCCCGCGATGGCTCGTCTCCGATCTCGGTGCTTTGTTTTCTGTGGCAGCGATGGCTCTGCTCCGAGGTCGACGCGTGGTCCTTTCGGCCCACCTCGGGACGCCGCACGCCCTAATTTCTGGGGGTAAGCTGCCTTCTCCTAGTAGAACCCATCGTCTTAGCCCTCTTCCTACCCCTCCTCCTGCCCATCATGCCTTCCCTCCTCCCGTCCCGTCCTTCTCTTTCTCCTTTTCCTTCCCCTGAGCTGCCCAGGCAATACCTACTGCACGGCCCCCCCCCATGCCAGGCCGCCAGGGAGGGAGAGTCGGGGGTCGGGGAAGGGGAAGGGCAAGAGCAGAGGGGCTGGGCACGGTTGCAGACAAGTCTGATTAAGCGAGTGCTACACTTTCTCAACACCTCCTGCGTGGAGGCAGGGCGCGGTTGGGTCTGACCGCGCGTTGGCGGCAGCAGACCTTCGACACGAAGTGGTCGATTATCCAGCTGCCCACGGCAAACCTCGCCTCCGTGCCCGCGCAGCAGCGCAGCAGGAAGGAGGCTGAACAGCGCAGTTCCGACGGATACTCTGCATCGGGGCGGCCGTGATCCCGATCTCGTCTTCGTCCGCGCGGCAGGGCGAATGAAGAAGAGGAGGAGGAGGAGGAGAAGGAGGAGAAGGAGGAGGAGGAAGAAGAGGAGGAGGCGGAGGAGGAGAAGGAGGTGGAGGTGGAAGAGGAGGAAGAGGAGGATGAGGAGAAGAGGAAAAACATGATGATGCGGAGGAGAAGGCTTCTTGGGGCCTTAGGGCTTCCTAGGCGCCTCTTGGGAGCTTCCTGAAAGCTTCTTGGGGGCCTCTCGGGGAATCATGGATCTCTTGGGGGCCTCTTGGGGCTTCTTGGGCCGTCTTAGGGGACTCTGGGCCCATCTGACACCTATGGAGGCCGCTTTGGTGGCCTCTCTAGGCTGTGTCGGTGCCGTATTGGATCGGTTCACGGCCGTCCTGTGGCCTTTTTGGGAGCCCTCTTTGCGATCTTTGGGTCCTTTTTGGGCCGACTTGGGGCCCTATTGGGGGCCTTTTGGATTGTCCTGAAGCTATTTTGAAGGCCCTCGAAAGCCTCGTGGGCAATCTTAGGTGATCGGAGACCCGAACAGGTGAGAGCCTCAACACCTCTCAAACACCAATAGACAATCCATGGCTTTTGCCTCCTCGGGCTCTCTGGGTGGGCCTCTTAGAATCCTCTGGGGCCGTTTTGGGTGTTTCTCGACATGTCTTGAGGCTGTTTTGGGAGCCTCTTTGGAGCCACGAGGCTCCCAAGACGGCCTCAATGCAGGTCAAGAGACCCCCAGGACGGCCCAAGAGGTCTCCAAGAGGCTCTCCAGGAGAGCCCAAGGGTGCCACAACAATTCATGGTCCTTCGGTGTTTGGCGGATTGTGAGGTTCTGGCATGTTTGAGGTTCCGGCCGCCCAAGACGGCCCAAGAGGCCTCTCATGGCAGTCGTGTTGCTCTTTTGGAGCGCTTCAAGGCCTTCTTAGGGCCATTCTCGTTGGGAGCCCCTTGGGCGATCTTTGGATATTCTCTCTTGCCTACTCGGGGCCCTATTGGGTTCCTCTTGGGATGGAGCTATCAGACGAGAACACTTTAATCCTTCAAATCCCAGGGAAGATCACTTGTGTTGGCCTCGGCGGGCTCTCCAGGAAGGCCTCCTGGAGCTCTCTCGGGCCATCTCAGGAGGCTCCTTGGGCCGTCGTGGGGCCCTCTTGGGCTATCTTGAGCCGTCTTGAGGCTGTCTTGCGAGGCTCTGGAGTTGTCCTGGGCAATATTGTGCTGTTTCGTTGTCGTCATGGCTGTCTGGGAAGCCGTCTTGGAGGCCGTCTTGGCCGCCTGGAGGCCGAAAGGACAGCCAGATAACACTCTCAACAGGGGCAGCTTTTGGGGGGCGTGCGGGGAGGGGGGGTCGTTGAACTTCACAGTGAGACAACGGCACTCCCCTCGCCTGGCCCGCATCCGCTCAAAATATTTCCCCATGTTCCTCCTGAGGTTCGTCTTGGCGCATGTATTCGGGGCAGATCCAGCCGTATAGGGGGCCATATGCGAACCCTACCCCTACCCCCCCCCCGATTTCTGAGGGGGAGGGTGGGGTTCACTTCATCGGGAGCTCCCAAACGAAGTGAACCCCACCCTCCCACTCAGAAATTGTGGGGGGTAGGGGTAGGGTTCGCATGTGGCCTCCTACCGTACCCACATCATGAGAAGGTTCCAGGCGGCCTAGGAGGGGCGAAGAACGCCAGGGAGGGTCGCCGTCGTCTCGACTGCCAGGAAGGGAAAAAGGAGTATCCATGGCACGCTACTCCAGATTTCGTAATAAAAGGGAGGGGGTCTGGACCCTCCAAGACAAGCCATTTCAGACCACCCCCGTGGGAGAACCCTCCAAAACATCGTCCCCAGACCCCCCAGACCCTCCAAGATAGCCTGGAAGAGACCCCCCCCGAAATGAGACCCCCCTCTCTTTATTACGAAATCTGGAGTACCGTTGGGTGACCCATCAGCGTATCACTCCTTTGTATTTGCTCGACGACCTGGGGTTTAATCAGCCGTGGCACGATGATGCTTTCCTCACGGAGCGTGTCATTCATGCTGGCGTTGCTCCCCTAGCACTGGCTGTGCTCGCTGAGGCGCTCTCGTGATGATCCCTCACTGCAGGGTCCATCTCGATCCGATCGAGCCGATTCGGAATTCGAGCTCGCTGGGCACGATCCGATTCGGTGTGTCGAGATTCCAGCGGTCGGGTACGGCCCCATGTCTGTAAGTTGCAAGTGCGTATGCTGGCCCAGCCGATACGATTTGGTTCGGGCTCCGTGCCGATGCAGCCCGGTATTGTTTTTTGCATTATCAGAGTGGCCCTCTTTAAATCGGATATTTCTCAAACGTAGGGAGCAACTCAGTAGCGCTATCGTCGTTGGAGGTCCCAAGCTCACCCTCATAATAGGCTGCGGAACGGGAGAAAGACTCTGGCGAGAAACTTCCCAACGGCTCCGCAGCTGCATGAAGGCGGGCATGGGCATGTCTAGAATTGGCCTCGTATGAAGTCGAGCAACCGGTTTTTCTAATTTTGGCTTCTCCGCCCTCAGAAGATCAGGAGGGGAAACAACACCAGACACCATGCAGCGTCGACTCCCAGGATAAAATGGGAAAATGTGGGAACTGTGTGTGGGGGGGAAGACGAACACTCAGAACATATGGAAGAACAGGGATCATCTTGGGGTTTGTGCCTATTGTTTGTGTGTGTGTGTGTGTCCCTGGGGCCCTTCAGTTCAGGCTTCTCCGCCCTTGGGAGCCTGCTGGGCGTTGCAGGGCGGGTGGGAGGGCGCTCTCCCGAGCTCCTGCGCGCGCGCCCGCTGGGGATGGGGGGAGGTGCCCAAGGCCGACGCCCCGAAGCCAGGCAGCCGCCCACCGCGAGCGGGAGGAGGATGAGGGGGAGGAGGAGGAAAAGGAGGAGGAGGAGGAAAAAGAGGAACAAAAACAAAGGAGGAGGAGTTGGAGGAAGAGGAGGAGGAGGAGGAGGAGGAGGAGGAGGAGGAGGAGGAGGAGGAGGAGGAGGAGGAGGAGGAGGAGGAGGAGGAGGAGGAGGAGGAGGAGGAGGAGGAGGAGGAGGGAGGAGGAGGAGGGAGGAGGAGGAGGAGGAGGAGGAGGAGGAGGAGGAGGAGGAGGAGGAGGAGGAGGAGGAGGAGGAGGAGGAGGAGGAGGAGGAGGCGGAGGAGGAGGAGGAGGAGGGAGGAGGGAGGAGGAGGAGGCGGAGGAGGAGGAGGAGGAGGAGGAGGATGGAGAGGAGGAGGAGGAGGAGGAGGAGGAGGAGGAGGAGGAGGAGGAGGAGGAGGAGGAGGAGGAGGAGGAGGAGGAGGAGAGGAGGAGGAGGAGGAGGAGGAGGAGGAGGAGGAGGAGGAGGAGGAGGCGGAGGAGGAGGAGGAGGAGGAGGAGGAGGAGGAGGAGGAGGAGGAGGAGGAGGAGGAGGAGGAGGAGGAGGAGGAGGAGGAGGAGGAGGAGGAGGAGGAGGAGGAGGAGGAGGAGGAGGAGGAGGAGGAGGAGGAGGAGGAGGAGGAGGGAGGAGGAGGAGGAGGGAGGAGGAGGAGGGAGGAGGAGGAGGAGGAGGAGGAGGAGGAGGAGGAGGAGGCGGAGGGCGGAAGGCGGAGGGAGGAGGCAGGAGGCAGGGGGAGAGAAGGGAGGAGGGAGGAGGGAGAAGGGAGGAGGCAGGAGCGAGGAGGGAGGAGGGAGGAGGGACAGGGAGGAGGAGGAGGCGGGAAGAGGAGGGAGGGAGGGAGGGAGGGAGGAGGAAGCGGAGGTGGAGCCGGAGGAGGAGAAGGAGGAAGAGAAGGAGGAGTAGGGAGGAGGACGAGAAGGAAGAGGAAGAGGAGGGCGAGGAGGAGGAGATGGAGGAGGAGGAGGAGGAGGAGGAGGAGGAGGAGGAGGAGGAGGAGGAGGCGGAGCAGGACGAGGAGGAGGAGGAGGAGGAGGAGGAGGAGGAGCAGGAGGAGGAGGAGGAGGACGGAGGAGGGAGGAGGAGGTACCCGTACTGCTACCCTTCGCCCGGCCTGGGAGGCCCTCGTCCTCACCGCTGGGTGCGCCTCGGAAACCTGGTCAGAGCGCAGCCCGGGGGAGGTCCGGGGAGCCTTTTGGTTCCTTCAGATGGGTACGATCCGAGGCGTAGACTTGCGCACATCCACCGCTTTGGAGGCCAGCCTTCCTGCACCCGCGTTGGTGTGTTCCGGCCCCCCCCCTCTGGGGGGTCCAACGCATGTAGACAGAATCCCGGAAGAGGCTGTCGTGATGATGGGGGGTTCTGTTGCTAGCACCGCCGCCTTCTCCATAGGTACCTGTGCGGCTCAAGCGGCTGTGAATCCGAGGTGCGGATTTATCCTTATCTCCGCCTGGGAGTTACAGCGGCGAGTAATTATATCCATAGCCACGCCTGCGCGGTCTGGAATCTTGGGCGCGATCCTCTGGGTACGCTGTCGCTTGGTTCGTTCCTCACGGTGCCCCGCATTGGCCCAGGGGCCTGGCCCGCCAGGCCGTGGATATGAACATGTTTCCCGCCCACGAGGGGAACCGATTGTCCTGGACCTCGGCAGGGGGCGGATGTTGACATGTTGGAGCCCCCATGGGAACCAAAGCTTATCTTTGTCCGCCTCCCGCTGGGGTCCCAGGAAATCGGCTCGCCGCCCGCTGGGGTTCCGGGTGGTGGATGTAGAAGAATCCCCGCCTCGCAGAAGAGGAGGACTACCGACCAGGTGGAGGACGACAAAAGGACGGGCGCGTGCATGAATTCACGTGGGTTTTCAAAGTGTGTAGGCGGGGGGGGATGGTGATGACTAGGGGGGACATCTTGGCGGGGGCCAGGATATCCCCCACCCAATGGGAGACCCCTGGGTATCGCCGCTGTGAAGAAACATGACGTCAGAGGTCTGGGAAGTCGGTTCTGTCTCCCCTGGGGGCGGCCTCGTCAGTGTCTCCGGGGTAACTATCTTGGCGGGGGCCATGCTGTCTTCCCAGAGAAGTGGCGACACAGATATGGGCGCGACGGGTTATCCTTAGCCTTATCCTTCTCTTCCTCCTTTTCCTTTTCCTCCTCTTCCTCATCCTCCTCCTCTCTCCAGCCGTTCTGGCTCAGGCCTTCGAGGCGCTGAGCGTGCAAGCTCGCGCTTCAGAGCGGCTCGCGCTTGCGAGCCACTTTGTGGTTTTCACGTTCGCCCCAGCTGTTGCAGCCAGCAGCGTATGGGGCCACCGCCCGATGCCCTCCCAGGTGCGAAAGCGCCCCTGTGGGGGGGCCCGCGATGCGGCTGCTGGGACAACGGGTTTTCGCGCAGCAAATGCATGTCCTGCAGTGCCAAAGCCCCCTTTCCAAGGTGGTCCAGGCAGCGCGCAAGGCAGCGGCAGCCCTGGGCCCCAGTGGCGGCGCCCGCCAGGCGCCGGGGGGTCCCGGGCGAATGGGCCGCCTCGCAGCGTTTGCGATTTAGCGCAGGCGAAGCCCATCGAGGATGTGCAAGAAAAGGTGGTTCCGCTGGGGGGGCAAGCCGCCATGGAAGAAGGTCCCCCAGTCGACCAGCCCGGGTGCCAAGGAAATGTCCTACTCGGACGTCGCGCAGTTCCTCAGGCGCAAAGGTTTGGACACGACGCGGGCCGAGGAGGCCGAAAAGGAGAAGGCAAAGGTAGCTACGTTGCCGAAGGCCCCTTTGGCGAGGACGCAGAGGTGGAGGGTGGAAAACCTGCAGACCAACCTCGGCAAGCTGGAGTCCAGGGTCGCTGCCCTCCGCCTCCAGCCAGTGGAGTTGGACCAGGAGATCGAGGAGATCGCTGGCAACACGGACCCCTGCAAGACGGAGCTGGGCGCGGCCGAGCAGGCGCTGTTCCGCCTGCAGGCCGAGGAGAGCTCCGACCCCATCGAGGCCATCACCGCGGCGCTCGACGTCAGCGTGGCTCAGTCCTCTGAGGGAGTTGCGGCTCTCGCGGCCCTGCAGCGCCTCCACGCCAAGGCCGTCGAGGCCAAGCGGGAGGCGCAGTAGCCGCCTGGAGCTGCTTACGCTGATGATGCTGCTGATGGGGCACAGCCAGGCGCAGGAACTGCAGGCAGCGGCGGAGCGGCAGTCTCAGGAGAGCACCCTGCAGCCGGAGAAGAAGACGTTGACGAGGGCCTTAGAGGGGGCGAAGGCATCGAGGATCAGCAGAAAGAGTTCCAGGAAGTTGCAGAGCGTCTACGCGCGGCATGGCCAGAGGACCAGCTCGAAGCCAAGAGGAAGTACACGAGGCAGCTGCAGCCCTCTGACTTGGAGCTAACAATCCGCGGACTATTCAGCCTGGCCCATGCTGCCTGGGGCTCGGCCAGCACGGCGAACCGAGCCTTCGGGCCACAGCGCGATCGACGTGGAGTGGTCGCTGGATTTAGAGGCGCCCGCGTTGCAGGCTAGGCCCGCGCCGAGCTTGCGCGGGGCGCTGCCCCCGCCCGCGCGCAGGAGACGCGGCGGTGGGGATGCCGAATGATCTCGCCTACTCGATGAGCGCGAAAGGCCAGAGCATCTGCGCAGCCGCGCAGGGCGGAATCCCGAAGGGCAGGGGAAGCAGGGGTTGAGCCCCTGGACGTCACGCCCCTCTGCCCACAGGTGCTTCGGGTGCCGGGCGCGCATTTCGTCGGGCGCGGCTGCCAGTGCTGGGCAATCTCCTCCGTCGACCCCGATTGCGCCGAATGTCGCGGGGAGGCCCTCGCCGCGTGCTTCTGAGAGCGCCTCGGGGACATTGTCTACTGGGGCTTCCACGAGTGGATCGGGGATGAGTGCGCCGACCACGCCGGCATGCCCTCGTCTGTGCCACGTGCCCGATGCGGTGTTGAAAAATCACGGTCAGGACCCGGTAGGTGTGGTGATGGCCCACTTGCTCGATGTCTTCTTGCTGAACTGGACCACGTGCCGCCAGCTGTTGTTTTGTCTGTTGCTTGCTGAAGGGACTTGGAAGCCATCCTGGGCCTCCGCAGTCAGTTCGCCCGAGATCGCAGGGATGAAAGTGACTTCGCGGAGCGCATTCCCGGCGATCATCGAGCGTGTTGTAGACGAAGGGACATCTGGAGGTGCCATCCATGTTCCGCAGGTTTGCTGCATCCAGGAGACCAGGGTCAATAGTGGTACCAAGCAGGTCTTCGCTATGTGTCGGGAAAAACAGCGCACGGCTCCCTCGCGCCTTTCGGGAGGGCGCGCAGCGCGGGGCCCAGCGCCCTGCAGCGCAGCTCGGGAGCAGCAGTTGCTGCGCGCTCGAGGTTAGGGTTAGCGCCTACAGCGACCGCTGTTTTCGAGGACTGCACGTGTCGAGTCTTTGAGCGAGTCGTCAACGTAGACTTCCCCAAGGGCACAGTCGTCGCAAGCGCCTTCTGCGCGACGGGCCAGAGGACCTCACGGGGCCAAACATGGCCCTGTTGCAGGCTGTAGGTACCTACCACGTGGCCCAGGATAGGCCGGGCCTAAACTTCAGCTTGGCGCGCGCAGGGCACGGGTTTCTGCGGGAAGTTTGCGGGGGGCCGGCGGCCCCGACGCGCAGGGCATCTTGCCCCGGGAAGGCTCGAGGTCCTCTCGTCGGCTCCGTCCGGCACGGTCGATGACTGGGCGATCTTGGACGGGGCGGTCTCGGAGGCACAGCGAGGTGCCGAGGGCGCTAGGATCCTCGACTTTGCGATGTTGCAGAGGCGCTGGCCTCGAAGGTCGAGACGTTCTCGGTCATGGGCCGGGCGTCCATGCACCCGCGCCCCAGCTGTTTTGAAACTGAAAAAGAGCTCCGCTACGCGCCCGCGATTAGTCTGCAGGTGAATTGCCGGGCCTTCGCCACGGGGCCCACTGGTCCTCGTCGGGCTCCTGTGCTGCGCGACTGGTACTGGGAGATTGGCTCTCCGTCGGGCTCGGGCCTCAT